GGAAGTATTTTATGGAACAATTTGTCTATTATATTTAAAACAATGTAACACAATTGAATCTTTTAAAAAGACATATATTGAAGAATATTTGTTTATTTCTAATTACAGTGTAATAGTTTAATATTGGACTCGTATAAGAATTTTTGTTATTAAATTTTATACTTTATGTTTTAATATACATTTGTACATATGTATGTATATAATGCATGACCTAATTGTAATCTAGTCTTTGGACTAAAATGTTATCCTGTAGAAATAAAGGAAATTATAATTATTATTATAAAATTCTGCTTGCCAAAGTAAATAAGCATGGGGAAATTTTATTCAGTAAGATGTGTCAAAGGTGGCGACGAATAATATTAAGGAGAAGACATTAGAGTACTATCTACACAAAGATAAATTCTTCAAATACTGATTGAACGCCATATTTGTTGTTTTCATTTCGGCTTAGGACATCGTAACTATTAAGACTATCATAAGAACATCATATGACACCTATTTATATATACTAAGCAGACATATATGATTGTGAGAAATTAAGTATATAGAAGTGTAAAGATTGATTTTTGTCTTGAGAATTATTTCAGCTACATTAATAATGTTCACATTCTTTCAAAACTACGAAGTGGTAAATTGAAACTAAATGTTGAAGTTTGTCGTTTCTCTGATATACATTTTACCAAGAGAGCTGTGTCTATTTGTATGTTGCAACATGCAATGTGTTGAGAACGAAGTTCATTTTGTATTGGTATGTCCAGCATATACAGCAGTCAGAAATACTTTTTTTGCCACGTTATTATTGTATATGGTTGAATACTTTTTAACTATCTTGTTTGTTGAAAGCTACTTCAAGATCACTTACAATTAAGCTGTGTAAATATTTGAAGAATGCATGGAAAGATAGATCGGATATTATTGATAAGTTATATTATTATTGTATTGTTCTCTGGTATTAGTCCTTTGTCACATTGTGTATATATTATTTATTGACATAGCATATCCTTATGCTCTTGCAAATAAAATATTCATTCATTAATTCATTCATTCATTCAACTTTAAGACCAAATTTAGGACATATCTTTTCTTAGGAGATACTATTAGACTTTCGTTAACCTGATTTAGAACTAAGACGTACCCTAAGACCATCCTAAGACTCGTCCTAGTCCGAAGACAGATTCGTTGACACGGTTGATACGGTGCTTTTTGTCCGATAATTTTCCTTTTTTGTCCGACTTTTTTTATTTTTTCCGTTGCTTTCGATCATTTTGCTTCTTGTCCGATAGTTTTGCTTTTCGTCCGACACTTTTGCATTTTGTCCGATCATTTTGATCTCACCGACACTTTTACGTTTTGTTCGATAAGTTTGATTTTCGTCCGACACTTTTCCCTTTTGTCCGTTGCTTTTTGGTTCGTTTGCTTTTTGTCCGATGTTTTCCTTATGTCCCATTTAAAAATGTGTATATGTTTTAAAGTGAGAAAACCACCGACTTTCTGCGGCAAAACTGACATCCCTAGTAAATAAGAACTGAAGTCGAGCACATCAACATTATTATGGCACAATTTCAATACTTCAAATGCTGAAAACTACATGTACACATGCAAAAGTAGGTGTGTCGACTAACCAGGAGGACTGGCCCTCACTGTTATAATTTTTATAAATCTACAATGTTTTTCAAGAATAATACGTTTATTTGAGCTCATTTATTGCTTAAATTTGTAACATGGGACTAAACGTACAATGATTTGGCAATAGCTTTTTCAAATCTGGAATGAGAGCACTACATGTCATAATATAGTGAAATTCGTCACCGATATCAGCCAAATTTTAAAGATGAAACAACCTTTCATTTCAATCAGTTCAATCTTTTCTCACAAAAGGGACTGTGTGGAAACAAAGCAACCACTGCACGAACTTTGAAAACAGTTTAACAGGTTTTTTTTACCTCTAGGCGAGTGACATTTTTTTCAAAATGACGATTAGTTAATGCACCCAACTAACATACAACTATATTATATATCAGTCGAATGATTATTATCGGTACCTTTTGTTTTCCTCGGTCGTCAATAATTTGTACGATGCATTTTTCGCTAAATCAAGGTCAAAGGTAAAGAATGAACATTCCTAAATTTTGGAAGAATTAAACAATATGCCCCTTTTCTTGTTCTTGTGTTTTGTTCAAAAAATCATACAAACCTTCTAGAACAGAATACCATAATTCCAATTCAAATGCATATTAAAATTTTAATTGCAAAATATTTGCCAAAAAATTGGCAATTCTTAAAAAATGATAATATTGTGCTTAAAGTAAATTTATTTTTCTTGGGGTCCCAATATTTATTTCTCAAAAAATAAATATTTTATCGTAGATAGGTTAAGGCATTTTTCTCATCATTTAAACTGTAAATAATATAATTATATTTGTTAAGAAAAACTCTTCTAATGAAGCTTTTGCAGTTGACCTAATAACACCATCTGCAAATAGGAATTGTTTTGCTTTTCTTTGATTAGATAAAACATCGATTGTTGTCAATATCAGGAAATACATAATTTACCGTTTTTGAAAAGGGGTTATTCAAATGCTTTAAGGAATATACAAGATATATACAATAAAAATATGTGTTTTCGATGCCGAAAGTAGAAAACATGTAAAGAGGTTTATTCTCGTTCAATATTGATTTCTGTTTGCACCACGCGCTTTTCAATCACAAATCCGGCTATTTGTTTTTCTTTATGTTAGCACATTATTACCTACTATATCAATTGTTTGATGAAATATGTCAAAAAATTAATATTGTGGAAGATTGACTACCCTTCCTGAGCAACTGCGATCACCTACGGTTTAAAGAAGACAAATAAGTGTTCGTACATTTCGATGTAGTGTTTTGAGGACAGTTGCTTGTCTGTCCGACTTTTTTGCTTTGGTCATGGTCGGATATGGTATTATGAAACTGCCTCCTTGTTGTCTTTTTCCTCCTGTCAACCAAGGAAAAGATAACCAGCTTGTTCAAAGTAAATTGAATTAATGAAATCACAACAGAACTTAAAACTCAGATATCGATGTGTATGTTTGTATGTGTGTGTGTGTGTTTTTAGTCTGAATGTAGGAATTATCTTGTCCCTACTCCCTTTTGTCTTTGTTCTTTTCTGTAGGGGTTTTTCTTTTTAGTATAAGTTTTGTAAAAGGCAATACCTCAAACCAAAGCACAAAAAAATATCAACGAAAATAAGCTGGTTTGGATGATATGAAACCAATTAAAAAACATAATAAATTCATCGTATTCATGTATATCCTAATTGTTGATGAATTATCTTTTAATATGCTAATTTTAATACAAAATTATACAAAACTTGGTGACTATGTTGAACGAATCTATCCCATCGAACTAGAGATAAAGGATACTACAGATACATTTAAGTCTGTCTCATATCTTGACGTACATCTAGAAATTGACAATGAGGGTCGGTTGAAAACAAAACTTTACGATAAAAGAGATGATCTCAGCTTCCCAATTGTGAACTTTCCATTTCGATGAAGCAACATTGCAGCAGCGCCTGCATACGGAGTATATATCTCCCAATTGATACGATATTCCCGGGCTTGTATTTCCTATCATGATTTCCTTGATAGAGAATTGCTACTCACAAGGAAGCTATCAAACCAAGAGTTCCAAATGGTGAAGTTGAAATCATCTCTTCGTAAATTTTACGGACGCCATTACGAGTTGGTTGATCGTTATGGAATAACCGTTTCACAGATGATATCGGATATGTTCCTTATGTCGTAACTACAATACCAATCCCTTTTCACGAATGTGACCTACCGAATTAGACTATTTACCGGATTTGTAATAACATAAGCAACACGACGGGTGCCACATGTGGAGCAGGATCTGCTTACCCTTCCGGAGTTCCTGAGATCACCCCCAGTTTTTGGTGGGGTTCGTGTTGCTTAGTCTTTAGTTTTCTATGTTTTGTCATCTGTACTATAATTTGTCTGTTTGTCTTTTTATTTTTGGCCATGGCGTTGTCAGTTTGTTTTCGATCTATGAGTTTGACTGTCCCTCTGGTATATTTTGTTCCTCTTTTTCAATCAATGCGCGACAGATTATCTACTTAAATAGCACTCTGGATGCCTTAAACGAGAATATTATATGGCACATCTACCAAAATGTTTTAATGCAAAATCATGGCCAAGTAAATTAGGAAACAAAATGGTCCAATACATATTTATCTCTCAGTGTCAATTATGCAAATGTATTTGGTTACGTGTAGCTGTAGTAAACAGCAATATCAAAAGTGCTCATGATGTTTTGTCAGAGGTTGCCTACTTTTTCAAAACGTTCCTGATGCTGATTGGTTCAATCGTAAGTGTGACACCTACACAGTTATTTCTTTCTTTATAATACTAATTTTCCAACTATTCAGAAAGTCGAATTATAACTAGAAATATTTCGATTTACTAGAATTTTCAAAACAAACTAAAATAGACTGTAAATCAGTGTAATTGCAACATGTCGATTTATTACAAGAAAATTGAGTAGTTTGATAGAGTTTCCTACTTTGGACAGCACAAAGAACATTTTCAGTGTTTAGTATATAAAAGTGTTTAGTTCCATCGCCAATACATGATGCCAGTAAAAGCAACAACAAAAAAATTCTACATTTGTATAAGAGAAACATTTTTAATTTTATATTAATATTGTAAATTTTCAGTGCTTGCAAAAAGTATAAATTAAAAATAAAAGAATTTTTCAGAAAAATATTTCCTCTCGAATTCTTGTAATTTAAAACACACATTTTAAGACGTTTAATTGATTAATTGTGGACTTTTTATTGCGTTATCAAGCAAAAAATACTCAATATGACACAGCTTGAAAGTAACATTTGCGAATGCATGTAAAGTAAACTACATTTGTTTAATGATTGAAAAGAAATTATCCATGAAGAAGCATTTTAATCGTGAGTCGTGTTCATATTGTTAACACTAATCAGTTAAAATCTTGTATTGAAGGTATAGTCACACGATTGTACTATTACTTTGTTAGATAGAGGTATGTTAACATGTTTTGTTACGTTTATTGTTATATTCAAAGAAACGAATATTCATGAGGTATCAATAAGTATATGTGAAAAACAAATAAATTTATCGTTTAAAGGTTAAAGGAATTTTTTTCATCTTAAACTGCATATTATTTAATATTTGTCAAGAATCAATCTTCTAATGAAGCTTTTGAATTTGCCCCAATAACACCATCTGCAAATAGGAATTAGTTTGCTTTACTTTGTTTAGATACCACATCGATTGATGTCAATATCAGAACTAAATGATTTTTGAAAGGGGGTAATACAAATACTTCAAGGTATATACAAGGTATATACAGTTAAATTTTTTTTTCGAGATCGAAAGTGGAAGACCTGCATACTTTATCATTTCTTTTACCAAATATGACGAAAAATGAATATTGTGGAAGATTGAATACCCTTTCTGAGCAACTGCGATCACCACCGGTTTTAGGAGACAAATAAATGTTCGTACATTTCGATGTAGTGTTTTGAGGACTGTTGTTTGTCTGTCTGACATTTTCGCTTTGGTCATGTTATCTGTGTTACTTCTGCTATTGTATGGCACTGCCTCTTTGTTATCTTCTTTCTCCTGTCAACTAAGGAAAATATAACCAGCTTGTTCAATGAAAAGTGAATTAATGAAATCACAACAGAATTTAAGACTCAGATATCGATGTGTATGTTTGTATGTATGTGTGTGTGTTTAGCCTGAATGTAGAAATTTTCTTGTAAGCACGCCCTTTTGTCTTTATTCTTTCCATTCATATATTCATCCGTAAGTCTATAGAAACTTAGTAATTAGCAATACTCCTCCTACATCGCCTGGTAGATTTCAGTGAAGGTCAAAGTTTTAAAATGCACATATGTAGAATGTACATAACAGAATTTTATTCATAATTAAAAAAATCAAATAAAGTTAAAAAGATAGCAATTTAAATTCACTTTTACAGACCTGATTTCAATTCATCTCATTTTAACGCTTGTTTATCACGTCTATACATACCATTCTTTATGGGTTTTTCCATGTTAACTTATATTAGGAACTTATTCATTTATGAGATCTTCGCACCATCAGAAAACCAAACGAACAAACTGTAGCATGCAAAGCCATGAAAGTTGAAAAAAAACTATTTTACTTATTTTCTTAATAAACTTTTATGGTTTCGTTTTTAATGTAATTTTTGGAAAAGACAATTCTTCAAACCAACACACAGAAAAAAAATATCCAAGAAAATAAGTTGGTTTAGATGACATGCGACCAATTAAAAGCATAATAAATTCAACCACAATTTCCATTTCTCACAACTATTAAAATACTTTAGCTTAAGCATAATTTCATTGTACTCATATATATCTCTTTTGTAAATGTATTAACATTTGATATGTCAATTTTCAATCAATGCGTGACAGATTATCTACTTGAAGATGAATGTCTTAAACGAGAATATTATGTGACACATCTACCATAACATTTTAATGCAAATCATGGCCATGAAAATTCAAAAAAAAGTTGTCCAAATACATATTTATCTCTCAGTTTCAATTATTCAAATTTATTTGGTTAAGTGTAGCTGTAGTAAACAGTTATTACAATAGTGCTATGTTTATCAGAGAATTTTCGCTCCCTCAATTCCCGCTAAAATCATAAATTTCGCGTGTATTATTTCTTTTAAACATTTTTGCATTTTTGAGATTTATGTTTCTTTAACCAAGTTCAAACTACAAACAAACTGTTTCAACGTAGAACAACTAAAAGACATTCTTTTTGTAGATGGTGGTATTTTTGGCAACTGTGTGAGTTGTTCTGATTAGCTGTTTTTTTTGCGAGAAACGTGATTGCCGTAGTTTGATGACGTCAAAAACTTCCTTAGCACTACATAAATTATGATATTTGGTTTTATGGTGATAAACAATTGGATCAAAAACAAATATTTTGGTTTTAATCATTTTTATCATTTTCATTGATATTTCTTGGAAAATAATAAATATTATAAAATGGGTTTGGTAAGCGACGATTAACCGTTACTCTTAGTTTTTCATTTGTCCATAACTTATTTTATTATTTAGAAGACATACTATGCATAAATGCTGACAAATTGTAAAATTAGAAATTGTTCGTCCTTGACCTTTCATCGTGAATGGACGGAAATTGTACAGTATGAATATTTGACGACCGGGCATAAACGATACTGCAGATGATATGCTTTCGAATAGTATATGAGTCAGCCGTATGTTAGGTGGGTGCATTAAAAAATTTAATTTTCTGGTTAATGTCACTTCTCTACTCGTCAGTAAATAACAAACAGATGTAGGAGGACAGGGCGTACCAATCTACGTTGTACCCACAGTTACTTACACAACTTTTAGCCCGAAAACTTTTGATGAACCTTCCTATTTTTGTTTCTACAATAATTTTATTAACTAATCAAATTGCCCACACAAGAACGAAATAATGACAATTGAATAACCGCCCCAAGACAAAACATACAATACTAATTTGAATTTTCCTTGGAGTTCGATATTTTTGTTATTTTACTTTATACTGGTAAATAAAAACAAAAATAAAACCTGCAGTATGGATTCAGTTTGAAACATAAAAATAATCATATGATAGAGGGAGACAGCTCATTTCATTCATCAGTTAGTGATATATTTCTTTCGACAGTTGCTTTAACATTGTATGTCATATAGGTCTTCGTTACATAAAAGAAAAAAAACCTTTAACACAATCCCCCTCTAGATAAAGTCAATAAGGGGCGGAGGATTTTGAAAATAAATGGTTTTGCCTGACAGTAACTGAAAATGAATAACTGAACCCATATTATGTCAGCATGAAAATAAATAATTTTTCCTCCAAACTACAGAACAACGCAGGATTTAGTTGTGAAAAAGGATGAACAAAAATTATCCATCGAACCACTCCCTCCCCGATAATCGAAAGTTCGCCTCTAATAACATTAACGGTACCAATGTTATTGCACCAGATTTGCATTTCCACAGTTAATGTCTCTTCAGTGATGCTCGATTCCAAAGTGTTTTAAATTAAAAAATCTAATACAAATGTTGAAGAGCTTGGCTATAGAAAAAACTATAGCCAAACCGAACAAGGGAAAGATGTATTCCTTCAATCAAAATTTTTTAATTGCAAATTTCAATCAAACAAAATCCTTATTTCCATCCCAGTAGTGTCCTTACCATTTCCGTCGTGTGTTGTTGTCGTCTCGCTGGTAAACTTTTAAAACATTTTCCAAGTTTCTCTCTGACCATTTACGTTTTCAAGATTAACAAAAATATAAATAGTCTCATTAATGGACAATAACTTCGATAAGGAGTCGTCCGATAATTTTAGTACTAATGACACTGTGACAGTTAAAAGTTCTTCACATTCTTAACATTTTTGCCCTGTCATATATCCTTTGATTTTAATGGTATAAATATACAATTAAGTTTAAATTGTATTTAAATACTTTGTTTTCTATGTTAATCATTGTGGTCTAATTTGGCGACAGGCAGGTTCATTGGACTCCTTCTTACTTTAAGAATCTCATTATTAAAGGATGATTGTTGCCAGGATGCATATGATTTCGGGCTGGTAGTGTCAGCAGTGATAATTGTAGCATTATATATATAGTTATCGATCAATTAATTTTCGGGCCGGGTAAGGAAAGTGTAGGGGACAGGAGGATTTGTTTTCGGGTGGAATATTCATTATCACATTTTGATTCGCCGCTTTATTTATTTTGGGCAGATTTATCTTGTCAAGTTATTGCCAGTCCATATCATTCAGTAAAGGAAATATGGTTTAATTCCTAATAGTCATGTAATCGTTGTGACATTGTAAAGACAATCTTTAAAAGTGTAGAAGAGAGAGGATTACAGAAAAAGACGGACCGGGTAGGGGGAGGTGTATGGGACAGGAGGATTCGTTTTCGGGTGGAATATTCATTATCACATTTTGATTTGCCCCTTTATTTATTTGCGGCAAATTTATCTTGTCAAGTTATTGCCAGTCAGTAAAGGGAATATGGTTTTATTCATAATAGTCATGTAATCGTTGTGACATTGTAAAGACAATCTTTAAAAGTATAGAAGATAGAGGATTACAGAAAATGACAAAATATTAAATAATTACTCTTAATGATTTTTAGAACTACACATTCATACGAAAGCGAAATAATAACAATTCACGCCATAGTTTTCTATCATGTACAAGCTAAGTTGCACGCGACTTGATATGTCATTTGTAGGTTTAGTAATGTACTTCAACTAATAAACTCAGTGAAACCAAATAATCGTATCTTGAAATAAGTCTCAAATTAATATTACTGTTATATTAACTTATAGATAGTGGTTATGAAGTGACACTAAATCAAATTTATATAAACACGTTGTTTTCCTTATAAAAATACTGTGGATTCATTAATATTCGTTGGATACCAATGTTCGTGGATTTCGTGGGTACAGGGGAACCACGAATTTTAAATGTTCAACGAATTAAACATTTTCTGAAGGAATGTATGCAGACTTTGCCAAAACAACGAAATTAAATATGTACGAAAATGCAAGTTTTCCTTAATCCACGAAAATTAGTACCCACTAAAAAAATGAATCCACAGTAAGGAGATGTGGTATGATTGCAAATGAGACAACTATCCACCAAAGTTCAAATAAAGTGGATGTAAGCAATTATAGGCAACCGTACGGCATTCAACAATGAGGAAAATCCATACAGTATAGTAGGCTATAAAAAGACCCGACATACAAAATATCAAACAATTCAATTGACGAAACTAACGGACTAATTTTTAACAAAACAATCAAAACAATTTACGACTAAAAAATATGACAGACGTGAACCAACGACAACCTCTAAAATACAGGCTCCTGAATTGGGATAGACAGGTACATACAGAATGTGGTGGGGTTAAACATGTTTGTGAGCGCTCGACCCTCTCCATAACCTTGGACAGTGGTGTAACACAAAAGC